CTAGGTAAAAATGGAATGCTTTCTCTTTTTGAAAATGGGTTTACTGACAGGGTGACCGAAAATGTCCGATATTTGGGGGGCCTGACCGACCGATTACCGAATCGGTCAGCACATCTTTTCGGTAACCGATTTTTTCGGTAACCGATTGACACCACTACTAGGCATAACATATTTAATATATTTCATTTTCCTTAAAATATTTTACCGAATATTATTAAGTGGTTTTAGTTCAAATGAAATAATAATTAAAACGAAATTGGTGTTGTACAACCGAATTATTTTATGATGATCTACCATACTACATGATAATCAATGACGTCATCTTACCAAAAAATCAAAAGACGTAGAATAAGGATTTATAAAAGCTTAGCATACTTATTGGCAAAACGTTTTCTTTGTTTTTTCGCAGTCGCACCCCGTGCCGTTTTCGCGTTTTAATTTCCCTTGCTCTTCTTCCTTTGTCCTTAGCTTTTCCTGTGGTTCCAGAGTCCCTGTCCTTTCCATTTCCTTTTAAATATATTTTTAATGCTCATCCCTATCCCCCAGTCCTAACAGTTTCAAATTGTATTGCAATACAATGTTTTGAATTCTTCACATATAACCTATCGGCTATCTACCTTCGTTGGTACTGTTGGTAGCCAGTGACACATCTAGGCAGGTAAGTAGGTACCTACCTGCTTTCCTGCTGTCTTCATAAAGCATACCTAATGAAGTTGTCAAATTTGTAGCACATTTTCAACGCTTTCATATGCTGTCAGTGTGGCATGTAACCTAGCTAGGTTCATTATGTTCAGGGTTCAATTCAGAAGAGCTCCGCATAACTCACATAAGAGACAGACGGGGGCTTTACATGGGGTAGATGGCCTGATGACTTAGCTGGAATATGGCCAAAATTAAATTGACAACTTTTAGGTGAAAGGTGGTGATTTGGGTTAAGGGGCGTTTGTTGAAGTCAACTACTGGGTTATTTTGCACCCATTAAATGAAACTTCTGCTCCAATTCTACCCATTGAACCTCAATATCATGATCCACCTGTCCATCACTCCTTCCATACTTCCTTATTACATAGAAACTTTGAATGGCATGGCAATTTATAATTTTAAATGACAATATTTTTATGTTTCTTCTGTAGGTAGGTAGGTAGGTAGGTACACCAGACTGCTATGGACACTTTTCCAAGTTGGTGGGGCAAAAAACCTAATGTATATCTTGGTTTGAGTCGTTTGATTGAGTTGATTGATTCCTTTCATTGTCGCGTTTGAGTCGATTGAATCAATTCCCGAAAACTGCTCTGACTTGATTGATTTGATTGGTTTCCCAAATTTGTCGTGATTGAATTGATTGCTATTGATTGAGTCGTATACAACCCTGGTCGACAGCAAAAATGAAGCGATTGTTACACTGCCTGTAAGCGTCACGCTCAGCCGATTTCGTCGTAGTAATCCATTCCCTTTTCAAAAGGAAAAATGTGAATGAGCATTCAGTTGCGACAGTCAGTACGCGCATGCCTAATCATTCGATCAACATGACTGCCAAGTTAAAATATAGTGCGGTCATGGCGAGTAGCGACCATACTGGAAAACATGCACATTGCACATAGCTCGTTTTGCGTCATGTACGTCTTCATAATACAGCAGCACAGAGTGAATGATTTTCAGTCTTCACTCAGGCTGACGCACGTCGGGAGAAGATTCGCGAGGCTGATCGGTCTTACAGAAACAATCCAATGCGCATGCTGCAAACCTAACATCAAGTAACAGACCACGGAACGGACTTTGGTGAGTTAACTGTTCAGGCAATTTGGATTCGGCGGTTAACATCTTATGGTAATGCTATGTAAAGTTCAGCCTTTATACATAGTTAGTTACAGTATTCTCTTTTCAGTGATGAAAACTCGGCTTGATTTCACCTAGCTCATGTATCCGTCCCGTCCAAAGAAACTGCTACGCCGGGAAGTTTGGTGACAGCCGTATCCCTCCCAAACCAATCTCCCCTGACCCATACCCGCCGTCCTATAGCGAGCGACCACGCCCCCTCTCCCGCCGAGGCAGGTCACTGGTCGGTCCGTCGGTCCCCCGGCACATGACACCAGTTTGCCAGTAACAGGACACCGTCCGGGGCGGCGCCGCGCAGCGCACGGGCCACAATTAGCTCATGTGCGTCCAGATGAACCGAACGCGGTGCGGGTTCACGTGTGAGGAAAATCAGGCGCACTGTAGCAGTGCTGGCTGCAATTCATGTATGCCTGGCGGAATGACTGAAGGTAAAGTAAGGAGGACGTGGTCGGCTTTGAGGACAGCCAACACAGTCTGTCTGCCGCCTACGTCCTAGCAGTCAAGGTGCTCATTTGGAATTGGGGACAGAATTTACGGTACGAGAACGGTGTTGATTGTTCAGCCAACCAGGTAAGAGGTCTTTAGATCGGCCGTCATTTCGTGGCGCGTGTCTCACCAAATTTCCCGAGCCAAACGGGTAGGACGTCCGGGAACTCTTCAGCTTGCCGAGTGCCGACAATGGATATTTGGTGATAATCGGAACTTTGTCCCTCTGTAACGGCTCAGCAGCCAGTCCCATGGCCTCGTGTGGCCTCCCTGACCCGTATTTGACCTCCTTGACCGTTCCATTGTCTCGCAGACGTGTCGCTGACCACACCACGGGGTGCCGGCGGACGACTCCACACATCTGTCACGGCCTTCCAGACGACACTGCACCACTGTCGACGCCGCGCCATATGTGACGCGGGCGAGCCGAACCCGGCGCGGAGAGGACGCCCAGCGGACGGCGGGCCTTGTTGCAGCGGTACCTTTCTCTCGCCCTGTGTCCGGTATGATGGATCGGGTAAGGAAGGGCCGGTGTCGCCAGCGAAGCCCATACCGAAGGACAGTGCGACTAGTCTGGTGTGTCACGGCACACTGCCCGTCAAGCTCACCTGAGTTGAGACTAACGCCATCGATTTCAAATAAGTGGACGCAACAGAGACCACTGGAAACATAAATCGCTTCGCAAATGTCCTCATGCTTTCGAGCATATTCTGGCGCCAGACTGCACGTTGGCACTGGCGCACTTAGTCCCTCTGCGTGCTCGGTCTGACGTCTCAGCCGAGCCCGGCCCTGCCCTCCGGCAGGCCTGTGGCCGACGGCACCAGTGCGTGCTGCCACATTCAGTGTGATTGGTGTCGGGCGGACCCCGCCCTCCCCTGTCTGTCGCACCCACCGACCGTGACCCCAAGGAGCCGGCGGCGATTGGCGGAGGCGTGGACGGGGGACGGGAGAGGGTGACGAGATGCCAGGTGACGGAAAGACGGTAGGCCAATTAGCGCGAAGGGTAAGGACACGAAAGCTAAGTAAAAAAAAAGTAAGAAAAAAGTAAGGGCACGCTTAGCACGATATAACCAGAGACATGTGAGCACGATCGCCTACATGTTGGCAGATAAAAATGTCATACAAACGGTGTTGATTTGGGGCTGAGTTGAGACAGAAAACGCGTTAGAAGTCTATCAGTTCCAGTAGGAGGCATAAAGCCTAATGGAACTAAAGAAAGGACGAAGTTTGGTTTAGGTACAACTACCTATCTCTTAACATACTTTTTTCAGCTTTTGAGTTACAATCCCAAACCAGTCGAAGTTCAAACTAGGCTATACCTAAAAGTTTATGCTTTATATGAAAATGGAAACCATTGATGAGTGGGTGCGGGTAGGGTTCGGGAAAATAACAGGCTGTGTCTCAAACTGTAAAAGCTTTAGAACTTAGCGACCTGGAGGAGCTCCCATGATTACAGATTGGGGTAAAGCACGTTTAGAGTGCTAAGAGCCTCATGAAACAGAAACTGGTTTGTGCGACAGGGCCAGAGTGATCTGGATCACGATCGATAGCTCTCAGAATGGGTTGCATCACGAGGCTGCGCCACAAGGTACGGAGAACGGTTCAGCCAACGCCTGATGCCCCATCACGACCACACTTATGTGTCTGATCACGAACGGAGCAACGGGCCGGCCACGAGCAGCGGGTCACGGAGTTGGGAGATCTCATCGGGACGCCACGGTCACGGATGGACATCACGAGCCGTGAGGGAACATCATGGAGCACCACGGAACACCGTCTAGTGGCGTCGAACATCTGGAGACACACACCACGAAACATCAGGAAATACCACGACTGCATAACGGGCACCGCAGAGAAATACCAACCCTATCGGAGCTTCACGAAACATGTTATGAAACCGCAAAATATCAGGAAACTTATACCGACATCACCAAAGATCACGAACAGGTACCGAAGAACAAGAAATGAACTGGTAGATCCAATCGTGGGCTATGATCCTGTGAGCAGCTGTCGCGGCGGCTCATGTCTCTTTTTCCCACTCCCCTTACCTCAGTTGACTAATTTACCCGTCACATCTCCCCCCACCCATCAGCCCCCCTCCCCTTCCAGCGAGTCCATCCCATCCCTGCCGCGCTAATCCCGCTTCCGGCGTCGGCGGTCGTGTTCAGGAGCTGCTGACGTCGGCTGACGATCAGCTGCCAACAGGCGCTCACGGTCGGCCGCCGCCGGCTGCCAAAGAGTCGGCCGTAAACCGCCGCCCGCGAGCCCGGCCGGCCAAACAGGCGCGGAATTCGCCACCGCGGCTGATTTGTGTGCGCTGCGGCCGACTCATGGGCCACGAAAACCGTCCGCTGTCCTCGGCACGGACTGGCTGGCGTAAACGACCACCGTGCGCAGCGAAAATAGAGGCGGGCCCACACAAAAGACGCAAACAGAGAAGAGGTGTAAAGCGGAGCGGAGTAGGAACAATGGATGAAAGAAACACGGAGAGAGGTGTGTGGGGCTGTTAGAAGAACGGTCGGATGGAGGGAGGGGTGTAGGGAAGAGAGAGAGAGAGAGAGAGAGAGAGAGAGAGAGAGAGAGAGAGAGAGAGAGAGAGAGAGAGAGAGAGAGAGAGAGAGAGAGAGAGAGAGAAAGAGAGAGAGGGGGGGGAGAGAGTGTGTGTGTCAGTGACTGACCTTGCAGTGGCCGGCGGCGCAGACGTGGTCGGCCCGGTCGGTACCCCCGTCAGGACTGCAGCGAGTCCCGTCTATGACCCGTCGCCGCAGAGTGACGTAGAACGAGGCGTTCTCGGGGCCGCAGGTCAGCGAGCACGGCCGCTTGGCTGCCGGATCAGAGTGCGGGTCAGAGGTCAGGTAAGTCAGAGGTCATGTTACAGATCAGGGTTAAGCTTAGGTCAGAGGTCATGTCAAGGCAATTTAGAAAATTTTCCATTAGAAATAAGAAAACCTTTCCTGAACAAGAACGACCAGTGGTCACGGAAAGGGACGGCGAAAGATTCAAGACTCGAGAAAGGCAAATGCCCGTCCTGAACAGACACTGCTCTCTATCATGCTCACTTAGGTTCACCGGCACCACCCATCCACGGCGTAGCACCGCCCGGGACCACGGCCGGTCAGGGCCCATACGATTCCCCGGCGACCACGCCACGTGACTTTGGTCGTCGGCTATTCCGACTTTGGCTCGTGCGCTAGCTTCCGCAAGGTCAACAAACACAGACGCTTTACTGTCACTCATGGGTAGGGTCAAAGGTCGGATCAGGTTAGCAACAAGGTCATCTGATCCAGCTCTGACGTCAGAGGTCAGGTCAGGTAAAGGGGTTATTTTACTGGCAGGTGTTGGGTAAACGGCTGTGGATATCAGAGTTAAGGTCAGTAACCGTAGCCATAGGTTATGCTAGGTCAGCGGGTAAGCCAGCTTCCATGTCGGATGATGACAGCGCAGGTCGTGTCAGGTAGCATAATTTCCGGCTGCAATCAACTGCCCGATTATGACAGCCGTCGATCCATGTGTCACACGAGACACCCGAGAAGTGCACACCTTAGCTGCAAGTTTGCCGGCCGAATCACCCTTTCAGTAGTCAAACAACAAACATATGAAGGCTTCAATACCTATACCCCGCCGGAAACGATGAAGTTGCAGACTGCCCCAGCCGCCCGTCAGGTCAGGCCTGTGGTGACATCACCGAAATCAGATCTAGACTCCCAGCGCTGTGACAAAGGTGGCTGGCGGACTCCGCTAGCCACCACACCGCGCGGCCAGCGTTCCGCCCACCCGGCGCACATGCATGTACATAAGCACGCCCTGAGTCGGGAGCGTTTCGGTCGGCATACCCGCCAGCCTACCACGCCGGTTCGCGGCCGTTCCTATATGTGATGCATGGCTGCTGGCTAGCGGCCAGGTACCGCACCCTATAGGAGGTGGGCGCGCACTACATGACATTAGGGCACTTCGACCTAGCGGAGCAGCGAGTCGGGCGGACACCCGATCATAATCGGCTGTACTATCGATCAAATCTGTTATCTCGCCTAATTGGATCATTTGTTGTCAGAAACCATGTAGATAATGACCTCCATGACGGGTCCAATGTGTTTTATTCAAAGGGCAGGCCATACCATTCATTTATCGAGTCAGTCCGCCGCGCCCTCTCTCCCTCGGTCTGGGGTAGAGGCAGAGGTCTAACCGTGTCACCCGTTCGTTCCGGCGATGTCATGGGATGATATAAACAGCCAATCCGGTGGCACATTACGGAGACGGCCGGCGGCCGATGATCGGTGGGGCGGCAGACGCTGGCACCGCCGCAGACGGACGGGATAACACGGGTCCTGAGGTCAAACACGCCAATCGGTGGGGACCGAGGCGGGGGCGGGGGAGTGGGCGGGGCGGGGACTGGGCGACATCGGGGGCGGGGTAGGGGTGGCTGGAGGCAGCAGGGCGAGAGGGAAGGCAGGGTCAGGGGCGGGATGAGGGTCAGGTAGGAAGCGTCAGAGCAAACTGATCATGAGGAATGCGATGAGATAGCGATAGAGATCAGCAATTAGAGCTGACGGGGAAGGACAGCCGGTGTCCTTTTGTGGTCAGGTGTTGAGCGGTTTGGGCTGCTGCGATCTGATTGAGACTTACTGCTGTAGTGGGGACGCCAGCGATACAGTCGGTCTTTGTAGGGCTTCTCGTTGAAGCTAGCGCACTGCTCTGCCCGAAAGTCACCGGCCTCAGGTGGACAATCCTGAAACACAGTCAGTTTTCACCAGTGAGGACAGATCCGACACAATCTAACTGAACAGATATGCCCCTCAAAATAGGGTGGTCACGGTCATATAAGAACATGATCGTCATTCAATGCCCCTAAACATGGGCGAAAAAATGACCACCGCAGTCGACGCGCCCGTAAACCCTAATAAACAAACAAATCAATGCCCCTTAACTGTAAGATAAACAACTCATTCAAACAAGACTAAGACCCTGGATCCCCCCGGCCTTAGGCCGGGGGGATCCAGGGCGTCGCAAGTCCATCTACGACACGTCGCAAGTTACGACACATGTCCCGTCGCAAGTTGTGTCGTAGCGAAAAAGGAGGGATGTTGAGGAAAGAGGGGTTTGTCGGAGGATACGACAGAACGCAGCTGCGACGAGGCTTAAATACCCGCTTTACTCGAGAATTTAAAAGGCTACACGATCAGCTGATCCCGTAGTAAACGTCAGTAAGGTCGAAAACTCTATCACGCATAAAGGAACATTCGCCTTTCTGGTTTGCGAGCTTATGAGACAGCAAGGTCAAGCATGTTCTCTGATTCTGAAGCTTTGTATTAACTGGGTGACTTGTGGTTGTTGACGCTCACGTGATTTGCCATAAAATTTGGGATCGATCACAGGAGATTCGTGGCTATAGGGCATCTAGAATCGATGCTTTAGAAGAAATGAGTTCCGAGAGTTTGAGGTCACAGAGAGGTAAGAAATTTGTAGATGGAGGTCACAATTGGAGGTTACAGAGGTCATCTGGGACACGTCAGGTCACAGAGGTCAACTTGGGGTCATCACAGAGCTCAATTAGAGACCACGGAGGTAATCTGAGACACGTCAGGTCACAGAGGGCAACTTGGGGGGCACGTCAAGTCACAGAGGTCAACCTAGGGTCATCACAGAGCTCAATTGGAGGTCACGGAGGTCATCTGGGACACATCAAGTCACAGAGGTCAACTTGGGGTCATCACAGAGCTCAATTGAAGGTCATTGGGACCATCTGGGACACGTCAGGTCACAGAGGTCAGCTTGGTGCCATCAGAGAGGTCACTTAGAGGTCACAGAGGTCATATGGGACACGTCAGGTCACAGAGGTCAACTAAAGGTCATCAGAGAGCTCAATTGGAGGTCATCTGGGACACGTCAGGTCACAGAGGTCAGCTTGGAGTCACTAGAGAGCTCAATTGGAGGTCACGGAGGTCATCTGGGACACGTCAGGTAACAGAGGTCAACTTGGGGTCATCACAGAGCTCTATTGGAGGTCATGAGGGTCATCTGGGACACGTCAGGTCACAGAGGTTAGCTTGGGGTCATCATAGAGGTCACTTAGAGGTTACAGAGGTCATATGGGACACGCCAGGTCACAGAGGTCAAGTTGGGGTCATCACAGAGCTCAAATGGAGGTCATCTGGGACACGTCAGGTCACAGAGGTCAGCTTGGAGTCATCAGAGAGCTCAATTGGAGGTCACGGAGGTCATCTGGGACACGTCAGGTCACAAAGGTCATGTTGGGGTCATCACATAGCTCTATTGGAGGTCATGGGGTCATCTGGGACACGTCAGGTCACAGAGGTCAGCTTGGAGTCATCAGAGAGCTCAATAGGATGTCACGGAGGTCATCTGGGACAGGCCAGGTCAAAAAGGTCAACTTGGGGTCATCACAGAGCTCATTGGAGGTCATCGGGGTCAGCTGGGACACGTCGTTTTTGGAATTGGGAGAATATTTTGGGAGATGCCCCTTGCAACGTCCAAGACCGCCTTTCTGGATTCGCCAGTAGTTGCTGGAATGGTGTTAGGCTACTTCATATCCCCGAATACCCCAATAAATGTGAATATAACATACTATGCACCATTTTCAACACTCTCGCTGGCACGGATTGAGGCCTCATAGACGACCCGTCAGTTCAAGCTCTATAACTCGCGTTAGCGTCAACGGATTGCAACCAAATTTTCAGGATCTAAAGTTTAAACAATTTTACACCTACCATGTAAATTTCGTGACCATGACCCGAATGACCTGTGACCTGTGACCTCTTCCTCAAGGCAAGGTCAACTTGCGACACAACTTACGACTGCTATTTCAAATTCGTAAGTTGTGTCGCAAATCAGGCTATTTGCGATAGACTTTACTACTTAAGTAACGCTACTCATCAATTGATCCCTTCAAAAACGACTTACTACACAACTTGCGACACGTCGCAGCTACGACGAGGCTTACGACGCTCTGGATCCCCCCAGCCTTAACAATGGTCCTCTGCTGTCTGGAAATCGCGGGTGTTGTAGCGAAGGATAACTCACCTCTTCGTTACACATATGAAATCGTTTATCACTGCCCACACATTGGATGGGCCGCAGCCTCCGTCTTCCGGTTTCCGCCCGTGACGGCGGCTGGTCCCCGCTGAAACGAAAACCAAAATGGACTCAACACCGAAGTTGCTTACTCTTACATGAAGCAGGTCAATTGTTGTGACTGATTAGCGAGAAAAGTCACATTCACATTCTCCATGTCAAGTAAGTTACACTTCATCGATCCCATTCATCGTCTTTCATTCATTCCGATAGTTTGTTTCATTTCTGCAAGACGTCCGCTTTGCAAGCCATGGATCACGGACAGTGGCATTGCAGCTTTATTCTGAGTGTCACAGCTACTTGTCTGCTGTACTGCGCTGGTAACGCCCCAGGCATCACACAACCAATCATATTAGACGAGGGCAAGCTAGTGTCTGCAGAACGTGCATGTAATGCGGCATCACTGTGTTTTAGCGATCAGCTTTAGGTCACAATACTAGCCTGGCGGTGGCGTTCTCTGCCGACCCATTTCCCAAACAGTGTCCAAATGCCACCACCTTATCATTCTACCCCCCCCCCCCCCCCCCAGTACCGCACTAACCTGTCGGTGCCGTTGTCTTTAGCCACCTTCTCCAGGCAGAGTCGGGTCTGTGTGCGCACGCCACCTCCACAGGAGCGCGAGCATGCTGACCAGGAGGCCCAGCCGGACCACTGTCCCACCTCTGATCCGTACCGACGACGGGCCAGACGCTCCTGGACCATGGCGTGCACCTGAACAGCAACGGGGAGGGGTTAGGCGGGGTGGTTAGACGCTCAGACGACGGGGGAGGGGAGGTCAAACGATGGCGAGGGGGTCAGGCGATGGAGAAGGAAATGCCAGACGACGGAAAGTCAAATGACGGGGAGGGAAGGGGAGGGAAGAGGAAGTCAGAGGAGAAGGGATGACCAGGCGACAGCGAGGGAATCAGGTGACGGAAAGAAAGTAAAGGCCGCCGCAGAAGTAAATGTGTGACTTTGACAGTAAGATGGCTTTTTATGCTTATTAGAGTCAAAGTGAATGTGATGTAACGCTTTTGTTGCGTGTCTTTCTTATTCAAAATTACCATGACTTGTTAGATATGAACTGCATATCGACATGCATTACTACCAAGACAAAGACGAAATCGGCAGTTATTATCCAGGAATTCGTTCACTGTTTCTGTGAGCCGAGGAACCCGTCTAGTACAGCCCTGTCTGTTAGTAGCTCGGCTAATTGCGGCCTGTAAAAGTACGCGTCCGGTATGCACAACCCCCCTCCCGCTCGCCCATGACATAACCCCAGAGGTCGATCCCGGGGGACGGGTCAGGAGCTGCCGAGGGGAGGGTGGGGGCTGCCAGGAGCCGTTTACGGCTGAGCCAGTCTGCCAGCCGACCAGGCTTTCAAACAGGCCCGCCGGCGGCGCCATGTTTGATTACAAACGCCGCTGTCATCGCTCAATATAACATCTCGCCGATCGCGTCCGGTCTGCCCGTTCAGCCGCCCCTCCCCCTCCCTGCTCATCCCCTCCCTCCACCCCCCACGGCCGCCCAAATTCCGGTAGGGCCAAGTCTGTCGTGGAGTGCCCCAGTCGCATGCCGTCGGAGGTGAATGGGTCCGAATACGGGGGGGGGGGGGCTGAATTCGCAGACATCATTCCTCGATCCCATCAACAATCAATAGTTTCTTCAAATCATTCGTTCCTAAAAGTCGGGCGAAAAGATACTATACATACTTATCAATAAAGAATGAGCATCGGTTTTCAGAGCTTCGGTATTTATACGTTACTTGGGTGTTTTGCCAAAATGACGAGCATGCATTCAATCATTGACAGCTGCGTCTCCATCGTAACCAGGTGTTTTCTGAGATTACCGTACTGAAAAGTGTGTGGTTGGTATAAATAATTCACAATTTCATTCGAATTATGACATTCATTTACATTTCTAGGAAATGTGGCTGACGATGCCCTAGGCTTCATCTAGCTGTTTTCATCTGCAGGTAACTTCTGCATTGCATTTCGGCTAAGCAGACTAATCCCAACACGAGAATCCAGCGACTGGGAAAAAGGCCCGAGGAGCCCCACTCCCATGAGATCAAGGGTATAGTTATACCTATTTCTTTCCGCATGCTTGTGGTTCTTGCGGACGCAGATCTGAGCATCTATCAATTGTCTTACAATACTCAAGCAGAAGACAATAGTTAGCCAAGTTTCCGGTCACAAGAAGACAAATGAAAATATGTCTATTGCAAATATGGATTATGGTTCTAGCTGATGTTATGTTGCATTTGCAGACATTAAACCTCTGCCTGAACCTATACCTATGGCTTGTTCTTCGCGAGAAGCGAAATATGGATGCATTCTGCAAACAATTGCGATCCAGTGGAGCGATGAAAATCCCGCGATTCCTTGCAAAATGCATTTATACAAGATGTCCCAATGCACATAACTAGACCGCAGAAGCATAAAAGATATCGTTTACCTATCGCATTTGGTTTCACTGGAATCATTTAACAACTTTTTATTGAAGCATGGCCTTCACCTCTCATGGGAACCCCTCAACTATTCCCACGGAATGCTAAATATCATAACGGGAAATATATGCAATGCTGAACAAGATAAGTTACGAGTTCCATCGCCACGAGAACAACCAGACACACCCACCTTTTGCGGATATTTCCGTCGTCCGTAGACACATATGAGGAACAGGAAGAGCAGAAATATCAACTGGAATAACCTGCAAACAGAAAAACGACAAGTGAGAGACGTAAAGGCCTTTAATATAGGTCGGTAAACACATCGTGTATCAGTGTTAGGCAAATATGGCGTACATCTTGTACCAGTGTTGGCAAATATGGCGTACATCTAAGTCATTATAACAAACTATTGTCTTAGGTTCGTAACCGATCAAAAGTGAAATTAAACCTCCCAAATGAAAAAAAAAACAGTTGCAAACGTCAGAACGTCTTGATTTTCCTACACTACGAGGCTAATACAAAATAGGTGGATAGACAGATGCTTGGAAGAACGAGCATTGCAAATACATCACATCCAACTGAGGCATAACACCTGTAGTGCGATACGTATAACTCGGTGCGCCGAATCGGAGCCCCGTGACTCAGAGTGCATGACACATTGTGTAGGAAGGGATAGGCGAACGTGGGGTAACATATTGCATAAACAGGGTAGTGAGCCATGGCCAACCGGCGCCACAACTAGTGAAACCATCTGCCGCCACTCTCAATAAACACCGTGATACAAAAAAAAAACAGCAAACAGACACTGAGATTTCAGGTTTTTTATGCATTCATTCAAAAGATATTTCCATTGGGTTCGCTCTCTAATGAGGAACAACACTCCTGTAACCGGATGACCTCCTGGCTCGCTACTCTGCCCCGGTGGCGGGACACCCGGCCAACAGCAATGTTTGCTTACGTGCTTGTTTTGAAATGATCACTCAGCACATACGCACGGGTCTGATGGCGACGATCGGTGCCAAGTCTGGTCGGGAGAGGATGTCTGCGGTCTCTCAATGCACTGCCCATTGTGTTTTATACCTCAGATTGATGCATGGTGACCGGCCGCGCCCATAGTGACTCACAGCGGTTAGCCACAATATTTATTTTGTGCACCACAAATGGAACGATCGCCAGTCTCCGAGTGGGGCACCTTTCAGCCGGCGGTGATGAAGTCACCAGTCTGGGATGCCGCTCCAGGTGACCACGAAACAGAGACGGAAGCTGAAGGGCGATGGGGTGGGTCTAGTACCCGACGCGTCGCACCGGCCGGCGTGCGAAGAAGGCAGGGCCTACCAGAATGGCCACTGACCACACATTCGACGGGGCATTCAGGACCCCCGTCAGACCATGAGGACGCCCCGCCGACGTATTCACAGCACGTCCCGCTTGCTCTACCGACCCGCGTGGGTAGACAGGATGGCTGTAAGGAACGGCTTGACGCGCGGCCTACAGTGAGGCTGATGCTGGGCTGAACTGCATCTGCGCAGGTCCTCCCTGACCCGTGAGCCTGACGGCCAGACCTGCCCCCTATTACAAGCTGCTCAGCACAACCTGCTCTGTACGTCGCGTGCCGTTCAGTCTGTCCAGACTTCCAAGCTACTAGGTCCTCCCTGAGCTGCAGGTCTTCCATAGCACCCTGACCTGCAGGTCACTCTTCCCGCCCTGACCTGACCTCCGTCCGACCTGCCACGCGGTGAGCGGGGGCGTCCGGCGCCGTCCGTTCGTTCGTTGGTTGGTGCCGCCATAAACAGCTGGTCAGAGGCCGACAGAGATGTAGCGCAGCCGACTGTGGTCGAACGGGGGCCACCCGCCACACTGACCGGACCATTTAGTAGGAAGGACCGCCACGCTGACCGGACCATTTAGTCACAGGGACCAATGACGGGCCAGCTTTGGCCTCTGATCACATTAACAAAACTACTAACGTCCCGAACAGCTCCTAAGTCGTATTTCCGCCCAATCAATGATTAAAGGTAGTGTGCCACCTTTGAAAGATTTCCCATTTTATTTTTCCTAGGATAAGAAGCTTCTGTTTTTACCTAATATCGCAAAAAAAAAATCAAAAATGGGCCTGGAATAGTGCCTTTTTCGCCTAAAAGTTTATCGGTTTTTAGATATGTATAACAACTGTAGTGGGCTCACCTGCAAACAGGCGTCGGGCAACAATCGCGAATGCGGCGCACTTGTGACAATAAGCAAAGGTCATTATAGTGTTACGACCATACGACGTACGGGAATGAGTTATCAGCTGTCTAATCGTAGACAACACAATGTCGAGCCTTAAACTGTAAGCCCGTATTGGTATTGTTTCTTTTATTTGGCTGTCGAACATTATTTATGGTTGGAAATATTGTTTTATGTAAAATAATTGATATGAAAAAGCCGTCTTATAAGTTATGACCCCATTTCACCACACGCAAGTGGCAGAAATGACAATGATCAGCTGACGCATTTTTCTTGGCCGAAGTCAGAGCGCGCAGCCCGACGCACCACCACCGCACCACAAAGTATGAGCAGAAGCCGCGCCCAAAGCCAGGGCCCCGGTAACGTGAGGTAGCCGAGTCGGGGCAGCGTGCGCTGACCCAAGCCGGGGCCGCAGCTTTGGGCGCGGTCTACCGCATCCCCGCGGGCAGCCCCGGGCTATCACATGACACCGGGAGGACGCGCGGCTCCGGCTTGGGTCAGCGCACGCTGCCCTGACTCGGCTACCTCACGTTACCGGGGCCGTGGCTTTGGGCGTGGTCTACCGCACTACCTAACGGGCGTGTTTGAAACCGCAGGAGCTGATGATGAACGGGTTTATCGAAACTTGATTGGATGAGCATATCGGTAATAGCGATTTCAGTGTGTGCATTTATTGTTCATAGTGGTGTGAAATGTGGTTGGGGTACGACCGACAACCCGTCGGGGCGAATTTCGCACTGGGGTACTCAAAATTTGAAGAATTTAAGACGTTTCCATGAGTTTTGAAGGTATGGATAAGTTCTAAAAATCCGGTTCTCCTTATCTGGGCCATTAACTCCATACGGTCCAAGAAAGCTGGCACACTACCTTTAATGAAGTACAGCCGTTTGGCGGCTACCGTACAATGGCCGGTCCGGTGGCATGTGCTATTTGAATTCACGCAATGAATTTCAACACGCAATGAATCTCAAATAGCGTTGAAGTGTTCGGGTTAAGCACTGCTATGTTAAAAATAGACTGAGCGCTCTGACTGTTTCCATTTATCACCTGTCCCTTTAAAAAACAATTTTGCATTTAACCGGTCTGTTCTGCGCGTTCAGTAGTCATCCTCAGCGTAGCGCAGGCGCCATTTACCGTCATGTTGAGCAGCTCTGACAAATGTGATCATCACTTCCCAGCGGGCCGACACTCCACCTTCTCTGCTCGGCGCCGCGCGGCCGACCGTTCTATCTCGCGCAGCCGAGCAGCTCTCCACGTGCCGGGCATTTATCGCCCAGCTGCCGGGCGCGCACAGAGCCATTCACAACGTGCACAGTGCAGGGCGGCGAGCAATTACAGGGGCCGGCGGCGCCAGCTGCGATGACGGCCGTCACTCGGCGGAGGCGGCGTCATCCGTCAAAGAGGTTCGGACCGCCCGTCCGCCGCCGGGACGGGATGGAACTGAAGGGCCACTTCTGCTCCTTGCCGTGACGGGACGGTGTAGTACGGGACAGGATGGGACGGGAATTGACGGCGCGGATCGCTCTCCCTCCCCCATGGGGCCGCCTTGACGCATAGCCCCTCCTCCTCCCCATCAAGCGCTGACGGCTGCAGCGTCAGTAATCTGTGCCATTTGTCCGCGCTCCTGCAGGGTCATTAGCGGCGTCCCGGTGCGGAAATGACACGGTGGCGGCGCCGGCCGGCCCGGAGGCGGTCACAACGCACCTCCCTCCGAAAGGAGAGAGGACACAGTCTCAGAGAGGGACGCTCCAGTCTCAGGGAGGAGACGGAGAGATGATAGGCTGGTGATAGGCTCATCGGGGATAGGCTCAGCAATCAGCATGGTATAGAAGACCGAAAAGCCACAGATTCCCCAGACTCCATGCATGATGTTCCGATGTTTCTTGGCAGCCATGCGCACCGTCATGGCACACACTCCCTGTCGATCAGACCACAGCCAGGGTCACCGGTATCCCCCGCTCACAGATCGGTAGCCGCGTGGCGAGGGACCGCCCACCGGCTCGGTGGGAGGCGGGCGCGCCTGTCAGGCATGTGCTGAGAGACGGTGAGGGAGTGAACGGGGTGGGAGGAGACCGGTAGCGCCCATGAACTAACGTCCAATTATCCCAACGATCAGCAGTCGTGTCACCAGGGAGTGCTTCCTGGCACAGACGGTAGCAGCACAGAGCAACTCAAAACCAACTAGTGATTTCAGCACAGACGGCGGAGACCCGGTGCGAAGCAGAACGATCCCCGACTGTGTGCTAGCTTCTAGTCTAGCCACCAGCTACAGGTTGTGCTAGCTTCCAATCCAGCTTCCAAGTTCCACAGCACTCAGCGGATGCTGAAATGACGCCAGTGCAATGTTATTGTATCACTTTGGGATGCCGAGAGCCAGTCATCACATTCCAGCCGTCAAAATTGCGCCAGGTGCACCCCTTCTCGGCTGAGTGTCGTCCTGGTGAGCGCTGTGGGTCGGCATCAACCACGAGGGCAGCGCGGCATGGGACTGTCTATTACGGGCAGATCAGCAGCCTGGGACTGATTTCAGAAAGATCTGTTAAAGAAATTGCAAAACGCATTAATTCGCCTTCACCTCGGAGGGGCAGTTGCAAAATATCATAATTAATGACAGCCAATGATGTGCATTATAGAGTTTTTATCGAGATGCTTGTACTATCTCTTCCCACGGTGACTGACGCGTCACGCTCACATGGGACGAGACATATCCGAAAAGTGCTATAATGACTCGATGACATCTGAAACAATACATACACAAAGACAGACATAGTCTGGCATACCTATGCGAGTGTGACGGACATTTTAAATCAACCCGCGTCGGCATTTAGTGAGCTGATGGCACACAGCCCACCCACCCGTGTGTCAGTGACTGCTGATACATTCCCGAGTCTCGTGTCTGACGTCATGCCATCATTTCTCACGTGGCCATCGGTATCGCCATTCGCCAGTGAGCACTTCTGGCCAGTCACACGGTGATTGCACGGTGGTGACAGACAGACGCTCGAGTGTCTGGGAGGAACGCGGTGCTTTCACA